TATATATATATGCACATGTACTTGTATATTAAAAAATCAGAACTTACTAACACACTATAACTAACAATTAAACGAATGAGCCTTGAGCAATGGCTTTTACCTATGAAAATCTGTTGTTTTTCTGAGGTCCTGAGGCAAGGTGTTCCAGATTTTTGGGCCCAAAAAATGAGAAACTTTACTCACCGAAAGATCGTAATTTCATTCTAGGGGCTCTGAATACTAGATCTATCAAACTGGCTCTCCCTTCATCGTTAGTAAATAGTATGAACAGAACAACCAAATGAGTTGACCTTGCCGGGGGCAAAGTTAATTAAAAATAGACTGCATTTGTATAGCGCAAATCCCCTCTCAACAGCAAGCTCTATGCATTTCACAATCTACACTATTACCCCAGCCGACCTGAGAGCATTCTGAAACAAACTCAACTTCCTGAGAAGCATACAGTGCAAGCAGCCATTTATAGGCGCTAAAACACTAACATACTGACAAGATCTTTCGCTGTCTATGGCCAGGTACCCATTTCCACCTTGGTGAACTGAGGAAAATTCGTGTAAAGTGACTTTCCCAAGGACACAACATCCAGCTCGCGGCTCAAACCCCCGACCCCGCAACCTCAAGATTACGAGTCCGGTAGCCTAACCTTAAAATGCTTACTATACCATACTCACATTGTCACAAAGTTCTTTATTTATGGGGGTTAGGGATAGCAATTGCTGTTTTGAAATAATTATAAAGGACTGGTCTAAAAAAGCATTTCCTGGTTTCTGTACTATAGTTTATCAAAGAGTGTGACGTTCTGATCAGTAGGCCTTTTTTAATTCTCTAGGTGTGGACTTTAAAATGAAAGTCATTAATCTGGATGGAAAAAGAGTGAAGTTACAGATCTGGGACACTGCAGGGCAAGAGAGATTTGAGTCTATTACAAAACAGTTCTACACGAGAGCTCAGGTAAAACTCTTATATATTTTTTTATAAAGTATCTCCTTTCATTCATTCTGGAGTCTCCGCAATTAATGATGAATACAGATGATTATAATTAGATTTATAAATGCATGTCCATGCTGTACAGTATGCTCTATGCACTTTATAATTAGAAATGAACTCTGAACTTAAAAGTAACAACAGGCAGAAAAAAAATTTTGAACAAGCTTTATATTTGTTGCTCGTTAATTGTTTTACTGAAAGTTATTTTAAATGTTCATTCCTAATGTTGAATGTGGTCATATTTGTTTAAGTATGGAAAGGTTAGAATTTGCTGATATAATCATAGAATGTTAAGTATCACTTTATTGTCAAAGAAAGTGTAATCTGAACTGAAAGCTTGTTCATTACAGCTCTTTTTGCGGAATGAAGATAACTTTCAAAGAAAGGGGATCTCAGAAAAACAGTTAGGTTAATTGTTTGGGTCTCCATAGCATTGTGGTCGATAGGAAAATAACCTTAGATATAGCAGGGTCGCTGGTTCAGCTTTTTAAAATATTAAACAATACTGAAAGTTACAAAGAAGAAAGTCTGATATTATTATCATCCAGTAATGTTTGTGTGCGTGTGTGTGTGTGTTTGTCTGCGTGTGTGTGTGTGTTTGTGTGCGTGTGTGTGTGTGTTTGTGTGCGTGTGTGTGTGTTTGTCTGCGTGTGTGTGTGTGTTTGTCTGCGTGTGTGTGTGTGTTTGTGTGCGTGTGTGTGTGTGTTTGTGTGCGTGTGTGTGTGTGTTTGTCTGCGTGTGTGTGTTTGTGTGCGTGTGTGTGTGTGTTTGTGTGCGTGTGTGTGTGTGTTTGTCTGCGTGTGTGTGTTTGTGTTTGTGTGTGTGTGTGTTTGTGTGCGTGTGTGTGTTTGTGTGCGTGTGTGTGTGTGTTTGTGTGCGTGTGTGTGTGTGTTTGTGTGCGTGTTTGTGTGCGTGTGTGTGTGTGTTTGTGTGCGTGTGTGTGTGTGTTTGTTTGTGTGCGTGTGTAATGTTTTTGTGCGTGTGTGTGTGTGTTTGTGTGCGCATAAATAATATGCCTTTGGTTGGTTGTTGTTCGGTTTTATTTTGCTTTTTATTTTTTTAAATCAGTTCAGTTCTTTGTCCAGAGATCTTATTAAGTTGTTTTCCACACTTTTTTTCCCTCAGGGATGTATACTAGTTTATGACATTTGTGATCGGAAGTCTTTTGACTCCATAGCAAAATGGATTGTTTACATCAAGGAGGTAGGTTGTTTTTTAGTTTGTTTTTATCCCGATTAGAAAATTGTTTTTTCATTTGATTTATAATTTGCAGACAAGTTGAAAGCTGCAGGGTTGTTGTCAAATAAGTAAATCAGGATCATGCAAAGGTTTATGATAGAGAAATAAGGCAACCTTACAGAAAGTGGATTTATGGTGAACTTGGATGACCCCAATTTTAGGTGTTTACCACTGAACTTCTGAGTCTCATTGTGAATTCTGTGTAGGATACATATTGTAAGACACAATAACAATAACCAGATGTTTTTTCGTGTGGTCTTTATTAGCTGTAGGTGATTTCAGTGTACTGTTTTGAGTTTCAGGACCCACTTTGTAAGACGGTGAAGGATATTTAAGGGAATGACAAGGGTAAAAATTAAGGAAAAAGAATTTGCTGGGTTTTTTAAATTTTGCCTAGAGTTTGTCACCTACTCAGTGAAATAAGTAGAGTTGATCATAGATAGAGAGCTAGATTTAAAACCTTGTGGGTACTCCTTCATTCATGTTTCATAGTTTTGTACCCTCATGGCATGCCTTCTCAGTTTGCCTCTGAAAAGGATGATGGCAGCCGTTTTAAAGTTGTATTGTCTGCTCTGTTTTAAATCTGATTTCAGTATGCCAGACAGCGTAAATCTGTGATTCTCGTTGGGAACAAAAGTGACCTGGAGGCAAAACGAGTGGTCTCCAGGGAAATGGGGCAGAGTGTGAGTTTGAGCCATGTTTGGTTGACAGGAGACTTGTATGCTTGTTTGTCACCTAGGTGGTACAGTTTTAGTGTATTGGTGACAGAATTAATAAATCTTTGGTTCTATTTTATTGATCACATAGTCATTGTAAGACAAAATTAAATAATGACACTTTTTTTTGTTTTTACCCTGTTGTTGCTTAGAGATATGGGTTCCTGCTCTCAGTGCTAATTTTCAGCTAAGCTGATTAGCCAGGACAGCAGTCTCATGTCTCAGTGTTAATGGACTCACTGTCTATATCTGGTCCACTCGTGACATATTACAGACCCCGCATCTTTGATGGTGTTACTTTCATCTTTCCCTGTAGTCCCCCTCTTTCGAAAAACTTGCAAACTTAGTCAAAAAGTGAAACTTGTTGCCTTTTTAAAAGTTATATTGGTGTTTAATAGTGTTTATATTTTGCAAGGTCACTCAATTTTCCGCAAGACTAAACCTGTTTTCATCAATGGTTGGCAAGCCTGGCAATAAACTGATTTAGTAGGGCAACCAGAAACAATCAAAATCACAGATGGCTCGTATAATTTGTCATTCCCCGACTGATATCTCTTTAAGTTTTCACTATACAATGTACTCAAAGTATGGATGTGTCAAACACATTTGTCAATCCCTGATTTGTTTAAGTTATCCGTGCCTGACTCTACTGGTAAATTTGGTACTGGTGTGCACTTTTTTATTCATATATCCGAATTCATGTTGTGATTGTGGTTAAATCTCTGGACAGAAAAATTAGAGCCAGATAATTAGCAGGATGTACCTATAACGTCTTACAACCAGGAACAATAAATTTTGTGATGTCAATGGCACAACACGAAGGTGAAAACGACCCATTTAGTGACCTACCAAGTATGTCATAAGGCAGCACACGGGTTGAGGGGGAAAATGAAAGAATATAACTCTTAAAAGTACATTTGTTTTTCATTTTTTTGACACTTCCCTTCCACAATGGGTTTTTAAATCATACAAAGTTCTGCTAGATTTCAAAGCTTAATAAGCACTTTATTATTTGAGCTCCAGAAAGAAGACTCGGAGAAAAAGACTACCTGTAGACAGTGCATAATTCAATTGTGACAAATATACAACATTCTATAAGAAAAAAGCTTACTACAGGCATGCTGTGTTTACTTAATGTGATAGAGCTTGCAAGTCTTCAGTGTGTACTTTTATAACGCTCAAAAGCACATGTGTTCTCGGCCCCTTCCTAGTTTGGTAACCTAAGTTCTTTCTCAATTAACTATATATATATCCCTAATATAGAAAGGGATATATGTGGGAGAAAACTCGTGGGGCGAGCGGACAGGAGGAAATCTTAAGAGGAAGAACCCCCCCCCCCTAAAGCAAGTGTTTCGGCCTTAACTCTCTGACACTCTAAGGTGACCCGGCCCCCTCAGAGTGTCAGGAAGTTAGGGCCGAAACACTTGCTTGAGCGGGGTTCTTTCTCTGAAGATCTTCTGTCTGCTCGCCCCCGAGTTTTCTCCCACATATATCCCTTACTGATGCATATATGTAAGAAGGACCTGTATAGGATAGTTGTAAAATATTTTTCTACCTGATTTTAAGACAGCTATACAGCTTAGAATGATCACTTGAAGATTTCAAGATTGTATCTCAATGGGATGTGAAATTTGCTTTCTTTCTTGAATATTTCTTTCCTGTCTCTCATAAGTGTTAGTAGTTTTGTGGCTTAAATTCAACTGACATTCATATGTTTTCATTGTCTGCTAATGCCTTACTCAGTTTGTTTCATATTGGATTTTTTTTTACAACAGTTGGCTGACTTTTACAAAATACCGTTTTACGAGTCAAGTGCTAAAGACCCCGAAAGCCTAGAGCTGGTAAGTTATTCCATTGCATGTGGATTAAGAAATCAGTAGTACTATCTTCACAGAGAAGGTACTTCTGGGTTTTTTTTAAAGTACCTTTCTCTTGTAAGCTTCTCTGGAATACCACTATTCTAAAATTACTCAGAGGCAAGGTGGGTAAAGGCTTCATTTTTTTTCTGTACCCGTTTTAACTTGGGTAACAGAATTCTTAAGATAGAGTTTCAAAATTCAGCATGACAAAATTGTTCAGTTTGCTGTGTCAGTCTGTTTTTCTTCAATGCAGTAGTCTCCGCCTAAGATCCCACAGCTTACGATCCTGGTTCGCTTAACATCCCGCCATTTTAAAAAAACCAGAATTTTTACTATACAAAAGTCACCACCAAGATCACGCTCTGATTCACTCTGAAGGTTTACATTCAGCTAAGATCTCGCTTTTCTGATCATAATTTATTAAATAAAAACCCTGGTGGGCATAGCCAATCAACCGAGAGGGAAAAGTTGAGATGGATGAACTGCCGGTCATGTCAAATATCAGCCACTCTACACATAAGCCTTGTAAAACTTGATGAAACGGTACAGTGTTTGCCCCAGATGGGATCACACCGATGTGTGAACAGACCGACGCGTTTGTGTTCCCCAAACATCACACCTGCATCTGAGCTCTCCACCTAAACTTACATCACCTCGCTCCAGGCGGGATCACATCGAACTGTGAACTCTTCCCTAACCATTGCAGCAGTTTTCTCTATTCCTGAATTTGCAAGACAGACTGAATTTTAATTGATGTGGTCACAACGTAATGGTGCGTTACGACAAAGGCGGGAGAACTCAATCAGAGATGGAAGGCTATAAATTTGGGACAGGTATAGGGGAGGGCAACTGTGGGTAAGCATAGATCTTGAGACTTACGATTGATGATAAATGAAAATGGCACACCTCATGCCACTGTGCACTGTAATGGGTCGTCGAGATTAACTAGTCTTTGCTCGCCACATGTCATAAACCCACCCAGGAGTCAAGTCAGGTCATTTTAGAGTGGAGGGAGACCATTTTACCAATAGTGGGACTTAACATGGGTCACCATAGATTCTTCCTTGGGTTCGTCGGCTAAGATCCCAGTTCACCTAAGGTCCGGCATTATTCTTGCTCCCGAGCACCAGGATCTTAGGTGGAGACAACTGTATTTTCATGTCTGTGTAAATTGTCTGAGAAAACTTTTACCTTAATGGATCATGATGGATCTGAGTGCAGTTCACAGGTTCTTAAAAGTTGCACTTGCTACTTCGACATACAGAGTGAAAGTTCACATATTATTTGTACTATTTTAGTTGCCAGTACTCCTTACCCATCTATTCTATTTATTTGTTCTCTTGCTGTTTCTTTGCTCTGAACAATGATATTTGTGTCTGTGTCCATCTCCATTACTCAACAAGTGATTGGTTTTTGGTTGAAGTTTTACTAATTGGTTTTTTTTTTCTTTTAAATTTTACCAGCCTTTCAAGGACGTCTGCCGCGGCATTCTTAGAGCCGAGCCAGAGAATAACGTAGCTGATGATTCGCTGGCTGAAAACGTGCTCCATGCAGCGTCTCAAACAGAAGATGTCAAGCTGTCACGTGGCTGTCCCTGCTGAAAGTAGTTTTCTCTGTGCCCTTTGACTTTGTGTTTTTAAAGTTATGGAGGAACCATCATATAAGTTTCAGTGATAACTGCTGAAAGTAGCTTTGTTTTAATTTACTTTTTGTGCCTTTTGATGATGGTATGATACAATTCTGTCCTGTTTTGGGGAAACTTAAAATTTTGATAATTGCTTTAAGTAACATTGTTATTGTGTCTCTAAGTCATGTAATTGTACAGTTTTGGATAAACTAAGTTTTAGGCCGCTTTTTCTTAAATCAGTTCTATTGTTTTACTTCGGTCACATTTTTGTACCAGTGTCTTGTGTAGCGTTTAGGCGCTTCACTGTCACACGCGGAAGACCTGAGTTCGACTTCCAAGTGGCAAAAAAATTTTTATTGGGTATCTCAGTCTTTCTGCTGGTATGTTGTAACCCTCTCAGCCTGGGTTGGCCCCGACAGGCACGGTTGGAAGCCTGCCTCTTAATTGATCTGAATTGAGTCGATGCAGGCATAAAAACACTTACTTTAAAAAAGAAAAAAAATGTTTATATATTTTTACTTTGTTTAGGAGGCCTATAAATTGAGATAAAAATTAGAGGTAATCATTTTTTATGGTGCCTTAGCTTTACACGACAAGCATGTTGATATAAAATTCTTCAGTGTTTTTTTTTATGAGCTCTCCTTTTCATATACATCTGCAAAAATTGTGAGCTTTGTGCTGTCTTGTACTAGTTTCATTTTTCTACATTTTTCACTTTAAAACATGACTTTGAAAGCATTGAATTCCAGTCGAGGAGAAGTGAATAATTACAAAGTGAAATTGAAATGTTATCAAACAAGAGCATGGACCATAATAATTTGGGGCTCAAAGGAAAGATTTTTTAAAAAACACTTTGATAGCAATAAATAAAACTCCCAAAAGTCAGAAACTGTAGATAGTTCAGGATAGCACTCATCTCATGAAATACTTCTGTTCTGGCAGGATGGTACGATAGTTCAAGATAGCACTCATCTCATGAAATACTTCTGTTCTGGCAGAATGGTACTGTCGGTGCATCACTATTGAAAATGTCTGGAGAGAAACAGAAAAGTAATGCTCAAACATTCTGCATGGAAATGATATCATCGCATAATCATTTTACTCTTGGGGAACAACAATACCTTTTCAGATATCTGCCTCTATTTATGCTTATATAAGAATAAAGAGAAAAATAACAATAGAGCATTCCGATATACGGACTGAGAAAGTGCAAAATTGTATTTACTATGTATGGTACAGAATTGCTTTAATTTGTTAGGCCCCATTGCCTTTGAAAGAAAAAGTCGCTGCCTCATAATATCATTTTTGTGAAGGATAGACCTTATGCCGCTAAGTATTATCCTGAAAGAATCGTGCTGCTGTTTGCTCTTTTTAAAAATTTTATAGAGGTGGTGGTGTGTGGTCTGTTTTTAGGATTTTGATAATTTCAAACATTATAAGAAATCTCATGTTTAATTACATATTTTTGCTTTTTTATTTTTCAAGGGAGAGGAAATTAAAATTTAAATTCAATCTCCATTTACTTTTTTAATTCCACAGTTATATTTTGAAGTATTGAAGTAGCTTTTTAATTCGCAATTTGTTTGCAAATATTTTACTCATGATCATGCTTCAATATTTGTCTGCACAGAGAATCATTCATGTTAATGCAGTTTCATGGTTTTATTATTAGACCTTTTCCATATTTTTAAATGAGATAGAGCTGACTGTATAAGAACCTGAAATATCTGTGGTCTTAAGAGGGGCAATCTTTCTTTCCTTTTCAAGTAAAAATATAGACGGGTGTGCGGTATTGATTGGGTCCCTCACCATTCCACACTGAAGATGTGAGTTTGATTCCCAAATGAGAAGGTTTATTTTATCAAGTATTTCTGCATTTTTGCTGAGATGCTGTATCCCACTCATCTGGTTTGGCTCTGGACAAAACAATTTGTCAATGTAGACCTTAAACATTTTCAATCACTCAGTCACATAAATGTTCCTATGAAAGCCTTTCCCAGATCCCCGTATTTGATTCAAACTTGAAAAATTATAACATGACATAACTACAGGACATATTTTCTAATGATGTTTAACATCAACGTCTTTGTGGGTGGTTCGGGTTAGTTGAAGTATTTTCCTGCTTTTACCAAAGTCTGCGTTTTGTGGGAGTTTTTCACTCGCTGCTCAAAAAGTTTCTCAATGTCTTCTTACGGGATCTTTCACACAGCAACTCTTTTGTTTCACACAGACCACATTGGGTTGTTTTTTTTTGGGGGGGGGGGTTTGTTATTTCGGGAAAGGAAAAGGGGAGTGGAGGGATAGGGTGAGGGGGGATTCATGCTCAAATTTGTTTGATGCTAATCAAACTATGCTTTTGGTTTGATTGCTTTGTGAATTGATATCTTTACTTATTGGACCAGATACGTGATGAGATGTTTAACAGTTTTGAGCATTATGACACTATATATTGTGTTATTACTTTGCATTAATACATCTTTAAGTATTGCAATAGTATTTAATTCCTTACTCCCTTCACATTTTATTGCTGTTGTCATCTGACCTGTAAAAACTTTTTAAGAAAGGCCAATATTTTGTGCCATCATGACAATGTAAAAATTCTTTTTTTTTCGCTCAATCTGAAGTTCTCTCTTAGAAAGAGAACACAGTATGCTACTGGTAGGTGTTACATCTTTCTTTCCGTCTGTTTTCTTTTTGTTGTCTTTCTTTATCTGTAAAGAGAACTATTCATCATATTGTCAATGAGTATCAATAACCATGAGTGCTTTCTGACTTCACGTCTAATATACATTTTGCCAAATACTTGATGAAAATTATACACAAAAATCTTATTTATGACATGTTTATCTACTATGCACAATGTTTTTACATAGAAAATGCTTACGAAGTGCCTCCCATAATTCTAGGAAGAGGTGTTCCCGTTTTCTTCTGATGTAACTCATTTCTGACAAAATTTGACCCCTAGCCTATTGGTAATAATGTAAGGCCTGTGTTGCTATTCCTCTCTTTTCTGGGAGGGGGAGGGGGTTGTTTGTAAAAACTTTACAGGTGCAGCCAGTGTAATGCTGTGACATAAAGTCAGCACTCTCAGCCTTGTTTCCACAAACACCCCCACACCCCTTTCTATAAGTCACAGACTGAACTCCCTTACCTTCCCAGCTACTAACATTGGTTATAATGAATGGAAATACTGTTTAATGTAGTTCTCAGGTAGTTCTCATAGAACATGTTGGTAAGAAAGCACATACTTGTGGGTTGGACCTTGACACATATGACTCCAACAAGTGACCTGCTTTCATGTCAGCATCCTTCACTAAAAAGAGAAAAAAATGGAGGAGGTGGGAAGTTCCATTGTATGCCTTGTCTGGTTAGGGTGGGACTTAATGTAATGTTTCATACAGTATTAGAAAATCCAAGGTGTGCCTTTATGCTGCAAACTAATCATCCTATAGTTGTGAAACTCTCTAGCTGTGATGCAGTCCCTCAGGCCAATAACCATCATATCTTGACAACTGACAGGGAATTTATGAGACCAATGTTATAATTTCATACTTTTATGATGTCTGTAGAAGTTACCATGCGATTGTCAGTGGGAAAAGAGGGAATGTATTTGTAGTCTTGAAGTGTATTATTATTGCCCCTGTAATCACGTTCCTCAAGCAGCCCCCTGTGGAGTATGAATATAAAAGTAAAGTATAGCCCTCTCCCCTTTTTTGTCTAACAGCTTGACCTAGTGCACAACATTCAGTGTCACTTTGAGGGTGATAGGGTGGTTGCAATGACGTCTTACACAACCAGGAAAAAGCTCATTGTGTTCAAAGATGTGGGGACATAAACTTTACTTTTACCACAGTGTGTGCTGTTTAAAGAGTGTGAATACAAGATAGTTCTAGCCAAGATGAAGTATAAAGTTTACTATTTTTATACGTTGTATTTGAAATTCGATCACTTTTCACCGTACCGTGCTTATGTTCAAGACAACTTCATTTTTGTCATAGTTGTAATGTTACTTGTTTTGTTTACTTGAAATTGCAGCTAAAATAAGGAGATGAAGTGCATTATATCCCAATACTGGGGAAAGGCGCTTTACATAAATTTTCCTTATTTCACCCTGGTGGAAATGGGTACCTGCCTATAGATAGCGAAAGATCTTGTTAGTTTGTTGCTGTTTGAGCACATGAAATCAGCAGCTTGCATTGTATGCCTCCCAAGAAGTGAAGCCAAGAATGTTCCTGAATGTTCAACGGTCTGCTGGGGTAATAACAGTTGTAAAGCATGCTGTAGTGCCTGAATATGCGCAGTATAAAAGCAATTTTTATTATTATAATGCTGTGCTTTTTTAACGGGAGGAGCTACCCTTGAGGACCATTTTCTATGATTATTGCCCGAGATCAAATCTAAGTACACATATAAGTTAGACATAGTAAAATCTCTTGATACGCAATTTTATTTTGGTATAGCTAGAACGGTTGCTATGGAAACGGCCGCCATCTTGAAAATAAACAATGAATTTGAAATCCCTAAGGCTTTCCGATTTACAGACCAAATTTGGTGAGGGTATACCTGAACCAAGCCCTATCATAGTAACAG